GTAAAACGTATTAGCCAAAAAGTATGCTGAATAATCAATAAACAAAAGCATTGCAATCAGCTGTGTTCTGAGATTTGGGCAGAGGAATTTGAAATGGTATTTTCCTTCAATGGTAGAGTTTAAGTAATTCGGGTTTCACCTATTCTTTATGATTTGCAGGATGTGACAGCTTTCTTACACTGTATTGGTGAGCTCAAATCCAATGTTTTCACCCCAGTTTCTGACTTTTTTGTCCTATATATGTTGAACTTTGTGAAAGAACAGTTTATTTTGATGTTTATGTTGGAAGGAATTATTCAGTCAATGTCTCCTTGAGACCTGAGCTTGGCTGCAAAGATGATTTATGAGGGATGATGAAGATTGGAGCGGGACAGGAATAGAGAGCTGGTTTGGCAACATCAAATTAAAACATATATTTCTGAATATTATTTACAGTGCCATCCTCTGATGTTGCCAAGTAGAATCTTAAGTGAAGCCCTAAGACTGTCAGTATTTCTCTAGGGCAGCAGAGTCCAGACTGAGGAAGTTCTGACAATAATGAAGAAAACACTCACTTGTATGTCACAAGAATGCACTGTCACCTTTCGGTTTTCTCTTTGCAGGGCCAATAAAATGTAGGTCATATTTCTTAGCCATTTTAGTGTTACCAGTTGATACATGGGTGAGTCTGCTGTGACTGAAAGATCAGAGAAATTCAGACTTGTGCTTTGGGTAATTCCATTAGTAATGGAAAACTTGTGAGAAGCAGCCTAGCTCATCAGCAAATTTTAAGCACACGTTCCTTCTTATTTTCTTGAGTAAGCTCTTGCTTGAAGGGACAGAGTGTTATGCTTAAGTCCTGCAGTAATCATCCTAATCTTGGTTAGGTTGCCACATGGAATACAACTAATCTCAAATGTGGCTGATGGGCTGAACCTAATTAGCATTTTGGCAGTAAGGCTCATCATATTAAGAGTAAAACAGACAGTACTACATGGCAAATTGTTTCTCAGTTAAAATATTTAGCAAACTAAATTGCTTTGAGGAGCATTGGTAAGAGTTGTTATTTGAATGTAGTATTTTTAATCTAAAAGCAGTACTATTTCAGAAATTCAATTTTCACAGAGATGAGCCAGAAATTATTTTCTGTGAATTCCCTGATAATAAACTGTATAACTGGTTCAAAATCTCAAAGCAATTATAAAAAAGAATTTAATGTTTGATTTATGAAGTATTCTCTCATTTGTGGCTAATCAACCTTGATAGTTACTTGAAGGCCCTTAGGCACAAATTCACTAAGAATAGACAATCTTAAAACAAACCTAATTATTCTGGATTTAAAGTTGAATGTGGTTTTATAATAAGACCACAGTTGTATTACTGTCCTTTCTGCTGTACTTCGTTTGGACTCCAATGACACCATTCCAACAGGTCAGTAGGCACCAAAACCCTGGAACTAATGAGATACATCTCCTGGGGAAACTGACAACAGTTGTGCAAAGCTGGCATTTCTTATCACAAGTGCAGACTGGTAGCAATGATTTCAGAGCCTTATATTAACAAAAGGAAAGTTCAATCATTGCTTGTATTGTCAGAATAGTTGACAGTTGACAGCTTATTAAACTCCATCCCAGGTGTATTGTGGGTTATTATTTAGATGTTAGGATATATATTTGTTTAAGAAGATATTTAAAACAGCGCTGGAATTTTTAAGAAGATACAAAATGAGTACTAAAGAATTTATTTTACTCAGAGTAACTTGCTTTCTTCTTTGACATCTCTAAGGTTTTCTCAGATGCTACCCTTTTCTCCTTGTAAATCCCAGATTTCTGATATTTCTGAGAATTTTTTTTCTACATGCTTTGAGTTCTGACCAGTAACATATTTCTGAATTAGATTGTAATAAGCACTGATGATATCTTGATGCTATTGTAGTTCCACAGTGTCATAAATGCATAAAGGTTTCAAGCCTGAAGAATGATTTTCAGAGTATGAGTCCCAAATGATGAGAGATCCATATAAAAACATTTTCCAAATTTTAATGTAATATATTCAACTGATATTAATGAGAATATATTACAAAAATACAAACTCACTAAGATATAACTCACAGTAACCTCATTCTTTAGGAAACATCATCTTATGAAAAGGGATATATAACCTGGACAACAAAGTAGGGAACAAAACTTGAGCACTGAAATATTGATTATTCAGTGATAACCGTGAGAGCTAAGGTAGAAATTTCTGTCACACAATTTTGTGATATTTCAGCATTTGGTTCTATGGAGGGATCAAAGTAAATTAGCTTTTTTTTTTTGCAGGCTGGTGATTTGCAATGTGACTCTGATCAGATATATAGAAATTTAGTTGAGCTAACAAAAAAATGAGAGTCTAAATAATTTCTAGTGTTTTGAAAATATCTCAATTAAAAAAGTATAACACTAGTATTTACCCAGAATATCATAGACATAAAGTCAAAAAGGAGGGCCAGTCTGGGTTAGTTTATAGAATTTCCTGTATAGTGGTGTTTCTCATTTTAAAACTCTCACCTCGCATAAAATGGTACTCAAACTGGATCTGTTTGTTTTATATAATCTGAACAGAGAGATTGAAATAAATCACTTTATTGCTGTATGCCTGAATTTGAAGCATTTGAAATTCAAGTCTTTGTTTAGAAATATAGGATGAGCAGCATTAAGGATTTGAAAGTTTTTCACTGAGAGAGTGGGTAAGAACTGGGACAGGCTTCTCATAGACATCATGGCCTCAATCCTGTCAGTGTCTAAGAATGTTTTGGCAACAATCTAAGATATATGGTTTAACTTTTAGGTTGTTCTATATGGAGTCTTAGACAAGGACTGAATGATTTTTATGGCATCCTTCCAACTCTGGGTTGTGAGAGACTGAAATGTTATGGCTAATGGCTCAAACATTGGTACGAATGACTTTTTGCCCATTATGGCAAATTTGTACAAAGGAGCTGCAACCACTGAAGCCTGTCCCTCTCTGAATATGTCTCCTGACTGGAACTTTGGACTGTGGGATAGGCCACCTAAGGGAACTCAGTGGCTTGACATGACACAATTGTCCAAATATCTCAGGTCTAGGAAGTAAGTAAGTCTAAGGGAGGAGAATGTCACTACAAAAAAAAGCCAAACTCAGCAGCTGTCCTGAAAATCAGCTCTGGCTGTGTTTGGGGTGGAGGAGGCTGTAGATCACAGGCTCATCTGCTGAGACCAGGTTTGCATGCTCTTCCTCCTAAGTAAGGGGGGAAGGAGGAGGAGAGTTTTTGTATGGCGTAACCTCTGGTCAGAGGGAGTGAACACCCCTCCTCTGTTACACAAACTGGATCAGTTGCAACCCTCCCACCCCAGGAAGGCCACATTCATGGGACATTCACATAAGAGGTAGCTGAGGAGGTGTCATTAATTATCAAATTTTATTATCAAATTTGGTGGTGTCTTGTGGGGGGTAGGGTTGGTAGGGAATCTCATGAGATTCCGAGCTCCCAGATACCTGGTTCAGGAGTCAGGGAGGCCTTGGCACTGCAGGCAGAAAACAACCCAGTTTGGATCACCTTTGCTCTTCCTTCAGCCAGGCTCCTTCAGCAATTTCAATACCATGAAACTGTTTACCAAACAATAAAGTCTTGTTCAGTCCTTTTTATTTTTTGCTGTCTTGAAACTCTTTGCCCATAGAAGAACATAAATATTATTCTGCTGCTTAAGCAGTATTCAATTGTTCATCTTTATTAGTACTATAATTAGTTATACTAACACTACTGTTAATCATCTCCTGATCAAAGCCTTTCTAAAAAACAGTTGATTCTGTTAGGAAACTACTGTCTAAATAGAAAGAAAAAATATAGAAGGCAGACAGTGCTTTACTCTCAAATCCTTTACTCAGAAATGTGAAAGACAGCAACCTTATCTGCTGTATTCTGCTCCTACTAGAAAATTCTGGCAGAATTAGTGTCAGGCCTGCATAATATATATCTCACTGCTCTAAGCTATTAACTTCCCCCCACTCTAGTCACATATTCTGTAGACTAACAATGCCCAGTCCACTCAAACTTTCTCACCAGAAAAACCAACGATGACATATTTTTATAATAATAATAATAATAATAATAATAATAATAATAATAATAATAATAATTTTTTTTTTTTTAATAAATCCTCTCCTCTTTCATGTTTTTTTTTAATTCATAACACACAATAGCTGGTACGGCAATTTTCTAATAACTGTCTGATTCGCACAGTCAAATAGCTTCCATTCTTTTACTATATCAAGTTTTTATCAGCTTCTCCATAATTTAACACATTCAGCTTCATACATGAGATTCAATCTATCCTACAGAATTAGGAAGAAAGAAAAAGCAAAAGTACTTATTTATTTACTAAAGTATTTCTTCCTCTACATTTTAGGCATTTCACCTGCAACTCACACTGAGAGTAAGCACTGTTCTCCCTTGGGTACAATATTAGCTTTGTCATGCAGAGAGACCTATTTATTAAATAGCCTAAAACTGGTATATTTTACAGCAATATTGGGATTTATGACCTACATTTAAGAAATCTGATTGCACTGCTTTAGATTACCCAAATATCCATCTCTCCATTCCATATTCCTTGGCTTACCAGTAATGTCTACATAGGTCATATTTGCTTAATTGTAAACATATTTAAGCATTTTTAGTGTTCATAATAATATAGGAGTCCAAGTCAAGAAAATCAAGTATTTCATCATGCATTTATGTTTGCTGGTTACAATGACCAATATAGACATTCAATGAAAAAATGGATATGTAACTAGCAACTAGTTCAAAATTCCCATGAACAGACAACCTTATAAAATTATTAAAGCAATATCAAATTGTCTTTTCCTTAGGTTTGGGGGTTGATTTTTTTTGGTTGATTGGTTGGCTTTTTGGGTTTTTAAAAAGAAAAAATGTTTGAGTGGCCTCACTACACAATGTCTGGTTTGTAAATTAAGTTTGTTCCTTCTGTCTACCTTCGCAGAGCCAGAAAGGAATCAAACTATGAAACTTCAGAACTGCGCATCACAAGGACTCCTCTAAACCAATTGCTGCAGTTTTGAGATGGGTGAGTTTTCTTTTCCATCTGAATTTTTGTTTGCACTGAAATTTTTTTTTCAGGCACATCCATCAAATTATGATTTTGGGGAAAATATAAAGAAAAATAATTATTTTAACTAGTCTTAGATGTGATGAAACATTCCAGATTTTAATAGTTTTGAGAATTTAGTGTGAGTCTAGGTTTTTGTTAGCTTTTAGAAAATCTAGTAGAGTTTTTGAAAAGAAATTAGTGAATTTTTCATGCTCAATTTTAGAGGAACAGATATATTAAAACACGTATAAAGGAACATGCTTTTCTGAAGTTCAACTTGATACGAAAGTAATACTATGAAATTAGATTGTAAGTACTATTAATCTCATTAGAAAAAGAATTAAGTTGAATGTATAATTAGATATCCTAAAGAGAAAACAAGCTGCTTAACACAAAGAGATAGTGAGAAGGAAGTCAATTACTATTTTTGTATGAATATTGCAGAATAGAAAACTAATATAAACAGGAAGATACAGATCATATTTGTCACTTAAAACAGTTAAAAAAGAAAAATATATTTTTCCTCAAAGTGAGACTTTAAGTAGAGATCACAAAGGAATGACTTTTATCTAGGTGGGATTCCTAGGAGAATCAGGAGAACAAAAAAAATTTGAGTTGTTCTGAACACCCACCATAAGCTCCCTTTTAAGAGGAAATGATTTGAAATACAATAAAAAACATCACCATCTGATATTTTTGTGCCATTGACTTGTCAGATTGACAAGAGCATTTATATTCAGAAGTCTTAATTTAAAAGGAGGAGTGACTGACAGTATGAGAGAGCAAGGAAAACATATCCAGGATGGAAAATAGATCTGTAGGACAGTTCAGCTGGAGAACATTTTTCCAGGAGTGGGAAGGAGAAAGGAAAAAGGAAGCAGAGGGGAGAAGGCAAAACAAGGAATCATATGCGATGGAAATGCAATATAAACAGGCTTTGAAATTTCCAGAAAATATGTGGATACAGTTTAATACTGGGAAGGAGTTCTTACCTTAGAAACACTGCTCCAAAACAAATACTTTGTTCATTAAAGACTTTCTTTTCTTTCATTTTAAAAAAATCTTTTATGTATCTTTTTAAAAATGAACCTATGGGAAGAACAAAAAGTTCATTGCTCTTATTATTATCTTTAAGTTGTGATATACTGAAAATACATAATCCATTACATTGAAATTCTTTTGAAAACAAAGTTTTTACTGCCAGCTTTTGCACCACCTAAAATATGGAAATGCTAGAACAGAAAATTGATACATGGCAGAATGAGGCAATATTCCTTCTAAAGAATAAGAAAGTCTTGGGCGCATCAAATTTTCTTGCATTAATAACTTCTATTTATGTGTAAAGAAGACTTCTTTAGAAGTCTTCTTAGTCTAGAAGAGAAATAAAGCTAACTCATTATAGCATGCTCCCCATTGTGATGTGATCTTGCCCAAACATGCTCGTACTGCAAACTAGGCAAAAATTCTTCTAAATGCAGAATCATGTTGCAGATCATAAACACCCAAAGAACATTTCCAATTATTTTTTCCTGATCAAATAGAGCTAATAAAACACAGAATAAATGTAATTAATTTAGGAGATATCAAAATTTGATCGGAAAAGCAAGGTGTCAGACGTAGATAAAACCCTATTTTATTCGATGACTCTCCTCGTTTGCTTGAATTGAAAAAATCTGACATTAAGCTTTAAATATCTGAGTTATATGAAAACTTGTTCTTTAAATTTCCATTAAAAACTGATGAAGCTTTTCATTTTCATAGTTAAAATTATATTATCTGAAACTTGTTAGTACTATTATGTAGCTCTAGTTTTACTCAACCATATGTGATCTTCTGTGATGCAATTTATTGAAGAACAGCACAAAATTTTGACTAACTTTCCTTTTCAAAGTGAGTAATACAAACTTTTTTAATTCCAAAGGTAATCCATGTGTTTAGCCTTTTTTCAGTCAATGAAATAGCTGTAAAGCCATACTTTCCATGCAAGAGAAACATGTCTGTTAACTGTGGGAATGATTCCTTAAGGTTGTTAAATATGCAATGCAAAATTGAACACATTCACAATATCAAAAAAAAATGCATTTTGGAAATATTGTAAAGAGAATACTTGTATTGATAGCAACAGAAAATTTTAGGCTTGGCATTAGATATTTAATGAATATTATTGAAAATGTAGTAAAAAATTCAACTCTTTAATAAACATTTATTCATAGAAAAATGTTCAGTAATGCAAAAATTAAATGTAGAAACAAACTGCCACTAGCTATGACTATGAAACAATTTTGAACAGGAGCTCTGATTTCCAGCTTCAAACATGGAAACTTGCCTGAAGCAGGATCACTAATATAAATTTACTTTTGTGGAGAACCTGGCTTGTAGTTCTCATTCCAATAACATTTTGTAGAACTGCAGTAAAACTTCAGTGACTGTCTTGGGGCTTTTTTTTTTTTTTAAATAACCTTTGTGGTGGCTACCATCCCCAAAATGTCAAAATATAGCAAAATTTCGGAAAAAACTCACAGCACACTCCACACACGTGGCAAGGTTGCTCTCTGTAGTACTAAAACATCATGCATGATCTCTAGGAAGGATTAAAAAAATCCCTAGGTAAATTTGTAATCTCTATGCCACATGAATAAAACTGAGGTAAGACAGCTGCAAAAAGCTTAGGCACTACACCTTGTAGAATGTGTACACTGTAAATTTATAACTGTAGCTCAACTAACTTTATACCCAATTTGATTTACTACTTCCTTTTTGTTTACTGTGCCACTGTTCAACAATTGCTCTGATTAAGGATTTGATGCTGTAGTTTCTAGTGGAGTGTGTTTAAGGGTGAAACATAAATAAGAGTATCAGAATCAGACGTCCAAAGTCCCTCTTTCTCCATCAAAGGTATTCATAATTAAATTGACATTCTACATATAGTACACAGATCCAAAAGAAAGGTTGCTTGAGTTACTTGAAAGACCAATCATTTGGGACCTTCCTGCAGTAGGTAGCAACCAGAACTTCTTCATATTCTTAAAAAATCTGCAAGAGGACAAGATCTCAGTCCATAAGGGTGTCATGATCAAAAGGGATGCCATGAATCTCCGTTTTACATAAAAAAGAAATAACCCCTCTTATCCCCCAAAACTATTGCTTACTATGTTTGAAATCAAGTTTCTTTGGTTTTTATGTCTGCCTTTTCTGGTTTTACACCTCTATATTGCAGTAATATTTCCAGTTTTATAAACACAAAATAACACTTTTTTCTTTTTTTATTAATAAAACACATTGCTTTCATATAGGGCTTCTCCATCATTAAATATCAAATGAAAATTACAACCATGGGAAAACAATATTTAATGGCATCTGCAGATAAAACTTTTGGTGGCAAGTTTGGGATGTAGTGTTTCAGATCAATATATGAAGCCAGGTCAGTCAAATGCCAAGAAATACAAAATCTTACCAGACAACATTATTCAGAGCTTCTGATAAAAAGTACACCTATATTCTGAAAAAAAAATTCATATTTCCCCACCCACAACCTCATGTCTAGAGCCAATATGATGTATAACATTTATAGTGCTGAACTGCATTGTTATGAAATGTAATGTACTCTAATTCAATACTCTAATTTAATAAACGCTTTTTGACAGAATCACTTTCCAAAACCAGGAGGGAATATTTCACATTACAGCACTCTGAAATCTTCTTTATAACCAAGTTAAAACAGTAGAGAATTAGTCCACACAACCATTTTGGGTGCAGTTTCTCGTGTCATAAATAAACATTGCATTTGGTAATGCAGATGCCTACAGACTTCCACGGAGAAAAAAATAAAGCAGCAGCTTTTCCATGGCCCACATTGTCTCTTTCTAGCAGAGAATGAAGACATTGTTGCCTAGATGGAGATGTACAGAAACGTGTACGCATCTGCATCACCAAATGTCATTAATAAGGTTGATTCAGTTTGTGCATAATTCTGTATCACTGTATGAAACAAAACAAAGTGTGGGAGAGGTTTGTTGTACTTCTTTTCTCTTTTAGCTGTAGTTCTGCTTTTGCGTTTTTTTTTTTTTTTTTGCTTTCTTCTCTTGTTGTCCCTCAAGTTTTGTTTAAAACCTTATCAAATATGATGTAATTTTTATAGAGTAAAATCAGATTATTTCACAAAGATGAACTTATGCTTAAATTACCTAACTAACGGAAAATTTGTTCCAAGAACTAAAATCAGCTGTACTAAGGTCAAGGACAGAAAATATGCATCCAGAAAAGATCTGATAAGTCCTCAAACCCTGCACTGTTGAATCAGTGAAAAACTGGGGGTCTGCACTGACTGCAATGGTGGGCTACAATGGAGTAAATATGAATTCAGGAACAAATAGGAAAAATAGGTTAGAAGGAAATGATTATGTGTTCTATCTGAATCATGCAAAGGAGCAGAAATAAAAAAAATCTTTCTCTATGTGTGTGTATTTTTTCTTTTTGCTGTAATGACAACTCTTCATCCTGTTGAGATGCAAAATAACCAGCTGCAGTACATAAAATTATACTTTATACCACAGAACAAGTAAGGAAAGGCTAACTTTTAGCATCGGTTTACAATACACATTAGATCAAGTTTTCCACAGTCACACTCCCATCTTAACACAAATGAGCCAAACTTCTGAATTTCATTACTGCTGGGGTATCCTTGTCTCTTGCCTCAAAATCCAAGCACAAAGACATGGCTGCAATTCCATACTCAGGTATGGCTACTACTCCATACCAACTGTACTCAGGATAAAGCTGACAAACCATTACCTGAGACAGTTTCAGGATTTACACAACTTTAGGATTTTACTATAAATCCTAAGATTATTGGTACTTGCTTTCACTGGCAGTGATATGTGAGAAAAAGAGAGATATTTTTGTAAGTCCAGTAAATTCAGCCCAGTTTATTGAATCTTCTGTGTTGGCAGTAATGGATTTCTTATACCCAATTGCTG